CTCTCATCATTGATGTTTCTATCTCTCTCTTCCTCTCCCTTCCTCTCTGAAATCAATAAAACTATATTTTTTTAAAAAGAAAAGAAAGCTCCTAGCTGATCTCTCACTCCTATATTACAGTCCCAGATCACAATCAGAGTAGGTCTAGGATTTCTCCTACATAGAACTCTGAGATTAAGCTTGTTTTGGGCTCTCCTTTTCATCCTCTCCTCCTCCTCTCTTTTACCCAACCTACTTAACCCTTCATCTAATTCTTGCTAATCTCTGCTTCTCAGTTCAGCTTGGCAAACATTTATGGAGATACAACAATGAACTGATAAATGTATATATTGGGAACTGATATGGGTTCAGGCTCAGAAGTCTTTCAGGCTTATTTATGCTTTAATTTGCTACTACTGAAGACCAAAAGCTGTCAGACAAAGGGAGGAAACTATTTTAACCCAACAACTGGAGGTGAAATTGAATTAGTAGGACATTTTGGATGGAGGAGGACCCCATCCTGCACCTTTTAAAGTCCTGCACCACCTAAGTATCACATGATCTCAAGAAAGAGAAAAATCTCCAAGGGTCTTTCAGCATGTGAAGATTCTGTGACTCTATGATGCTCACTTGTAGCTAAATCCCATTTTGGAGGAGCCATTACATTAGGTAAATTCTCAAGATTCTTTCCAGTTCTTAGATGATTCTACCCTGCTGTTATCCTTCATGTACAGAGATGACTCTTCCTATCATTCTTAAACATTCTGCACTTGAGTGTTCACTCTGTGTTGGGTGGAGTTGATGATTCCCTGGTGTATTCGTTTCTTAAGGCTGCTGTAACAAAGTACCACAAATTAGATGGCAGAAAACAACAGAAATTTATTGCTTCACAATTCTTGAAGCTAGAAGTCCAAAACCAAAGTGTTGGTAGGGCCCCTGGAGAGGATGCTTTCTTGTCTTTTCCAGCTTCTGGCAGCTCCAGGTGGCCCTTAGCTTGTGGCAGCATAACTCTAATCTCTGCCTCCCTCTTCACATGGCCAATTTCGCTCTGTGTCTGTGTCTCTTCTTCTCTTCCAGCAAAAACACCAGTCATATTGGATAAAGAGCCCACCCTACCCCAGTATGACTTCATCTTAATAACATCAGTAAAGGCTTCAATTCCAAATAAGGTCACATTCACAGGTACCATGGGTTAGGACTTCAACATATCTTTTTGGAGAACACAATTCCACCTACAACATCTGGTGACCAACAATGTTTGCCTAGGTTTAGGAATAAGCTTTTGATTGGCAGCTAGGAAACATATCAAAACAAATGGTCCTCGAGGGAGGAAACCATGACCTAACTAACCTGATGTGCTTATTAGTTGAGCAAACCAGTCATACCTAGATTCACCCTATCACACAGGCTTCAGTCTCTTCTTTTCTTCTTTCTTTCTTCCTTCCTTCCTTCCTTCCTTCCTTCCTTCCTTCCTTCCTTCCTTCCTTCCTTTCTTTCTTTCTTTCTTTCTTTCTTTCTTTCTTTCTTTCTTTCTTTCTTTCTTTCTTTCTTTCTTTCTTTCCCCTTCCTCCCTCCCTCCCTCCCTCTCTCTCCTTCCTCCCTCCCTCCCTCCCTTCCTTCCTTCCTTCCTTCCTTCCTTCCTTCCTTCCTTCCTTCCTTCCTCCTTCCTTCCTTTTCTTTCTTCTTTCTTTCTCTTTCGTTCTCTCTCTCTCTCTCTCTCTCTCTCTCTCTCTCTCTCTCTTTATATCATCAAATGATATGGTTAAATATTTGGTACTGGGAGATTTGTGGGAATATCTGGATCAGAAAAAGGTCCTTTCCTGTGAGTAAGGTAAATATTCAGGTATTCATCAGTTTATCACATACCCAAAAACCTAAGTGAGAGCTTACCAAGGGTTTTGTAACTGAAGGGTCTATTATTACAAGTATTCAGGTTTATATTTAGCCTTGAATTATACATAAACACCCACATACACCATATAAGTAATTTAGCTTAGACTTAGAGAATGAACATTTCAATCTGAGCATTATATGGATGGTATTGTCTCTATCACCATTGTCTTGTGAGATAACTGGTGACATATTTCCCTAGTACAAGGAAACCAATTAAAGTAATTGTTACTCTGCAAATATGAATCAATGATGTTGCTCACTAATCCCAATCAACCAAAATGATGAAACTTAGTTCATGCTTTTCACACAGCCAGGGGAGGAGGAAACTTTGGCAAAAGAGCTGTCCTGTCATTTCCCCTTCCCCCTTAAATCATCTCCAAGTCTGTAATTCTCTGTTTTCATACAAAGAAAAAAGACTATGCATTGTGTTTAGGCTCATGGTGAGTTGTAAAACAGCCCAAAGAGTAAATGAATTAAAATTATTAAAATAATTATCAGGAGAAAATTTCTCAAGAGGGGAAAGGTAATGAATTATAAAACTGTGATGGGGCAAGGATCAGGATGGGAGATGCTGATACAATTAAGCTGTTACAACAAACTCACGTTTTGTTTTAACCTGTTTTGAATTTGGACCAGTCATTGGGAACTCCCTTTCCACGGGTCTACATGGGATGTTCACATCTGTCCTTATCAATGTGAAATATTTTTTTAAAAAAAGCTTTTGAAAACAAATAGGAGGTGACAAAGAATTCCTTGGAGACACAAAGGAGTGTCTTATTTCTTATTTAAAGACCAGTGAAAAATTCTCTACAGCACAGGAATTGAAAGGAAAATGTGAAATCTAATGGTGTTTGGTCAGTGGAGCCAGGGATTTGTAGTTATTTAGTCTGAGTTTTTATATATCTCTTAGCATGTTTCAGGCTTAGAAAGGAACTCAATTGTGATTTTGTTGGCTTAGTTTTGACCTGAACAAAATGGATTTGCTGGTTTTGTTTCTCCTTTTTATTCAAATGAGACACACCCTCCTGGTTTTGAGAAATTTGATTCTTATCTCTTAGTTAGAACCATGACTGATGGTGAATTTTGGATGTTTTATTATGCTGGATTCTTACCAAAGACCACAAGGGAGACTTAACTTGAAGCAGAAAGATGATTGTCAAGTGACCTATAGATTAGGGTCTGATTCTTTGGTGGCGGTTCAATAAAAATAGTTTAGGCGAAGGTAGATTCAATAAGGCAGACTAAAAGAAATAAAATGCACTTCTGGGAAATGAGCAGGGCAAAGCAAACACACAGGAACTCATTAAAGAAACAGCCAATGAGCAATGCATAACCAATATCTGATATATAATTTAAGACCCAAAGGTCACTTAATATCAACTCTGTTGCAATACACATGTGCTGAAAGACTCTATCTGGCCATTATGCTTGAGCTTTCCCTGGCTGTTTTTATTTCATGGATATTTCTCAGGAACACACACACACACACACACACACACACACACACACACAAAATGGAAGAGTAAAATCAGATTTATAGGAAACATCTACTTGGATTAATTCGGTAATAAGAGCATTTTCAAATTGCTAACTTACTAAGTAAAGTCACCGGAATGCTGAATTACTTTACTTTTATTATGATGATTGAAAGAGATAATTGCAGGCCCAGCCACAAAACCAAAGCAGAGAGAAGAGAGGTAGCAGTCATTCTTTGCGTAATTACTGGTATTTGTCATCCTTGCCTTGAAAAGGGATCATCAGTTTTTCTACAGACTGTTTTATTTGCTTCAGAACCTCTTTTTCAGAATGCTGCTTATCATCCACGTTGTCCCCATTTACTTAGCAACAAATACACTATGAATATACTTCCATTAGCCAATTTAATGACTTTAATTTTGGTTCAAAATGTTAATTAAAAAGTATACATTTCATTCTTATAGGGATGAAACAAAAAATACTCTTGGTTCTCAAGTGTTAGGTTAAATTCCTAAAAGCAGAGTTGAAAAACAGGGGTAATCAACGTGAAATTTAGTATAATGAGCCTTGGGTTAATTGTGATAATCAGTTATAATTAATTTTCCTATCTCTTTAAGAAAACAAAGACTCAAAAATCATGGCATCTATAACTTTATTTATACTTAGGGAGAAATTTTTAAAAAACAAAAATAAATGAGGAAACAGAAAGGAAGTTTGCCTCAAAAAGAAAAACACTACAGAAAAAACTTGTAGATCAGATATTCTATCGCTAGAAAATGAGTGAGAATTTTATTGTTTCTTGGCTTTTAAAAAATCTGCCCTTCACCAAATAGCAGAATATTGCCAACATGGAAGAAACAAGATCCATTTTCTACATAACCATAGTTAATAATTTCCATGAAATTGACATTTTAGAACTATGGCCAAAGCCAAATTAAAACTTATGGGTTCCTAGTCCTACATCCTTAACCCGTTTTCTTAAGACCTATAATACACTTTCAAGCAAACCCAATTAATATAATAACAGAGGGTTGAAAGAACGCACGCACACGGGATCTGTTTCGGTAAAACACAGCTGTCCTGTTATTTATGTTTTGTTATTTTTTAAAATGGGAAATGTGGCCATCATATACAGGAACCAACATCACATTTTTTAAAAAAGCCCCTACAACCAATGAACTTGGAAACCTTCTGTTCGTGCCTCTGAATTTCGCTGCAGTGGTAACCAGGAAAGCAGCACGGTCAGGTATTCGAGGCAACAGAAACAAGGCACAGGCAGCAACTTGTATCCCCTGAGCAGTTGACATGCTAATTTCTTTGCCTCCTCATTCCTGCTCCATCCACCCCCTTCCCCCCCAAACCGGAGGCACCCTCTGGGCCGTGGAAGGTGCCTAGCGGGGAGTGAACAGAGGCCGGAAGAGCTGGGGCAGAACACTCGGTGCCCACACCCTTGGCTGCTGGGTGAGTGCGCACAGCAGCGGCTGGTGGAGGGAGAGAGAGCAGGTTAGGCGCGTCCCTGTCTCCCCCCCCCCCCGCCCCCCCACGCCTGGGACTGGGTATCTGCCACACAAGGGGGGGGGCGGGGGGGGCATCCCGCTGGGCCAGGGCAAGGGTGGGCGGGCAGGGAGGCGGAGCGCTGCGTGGGGCGGCGGGAAAGGGGCGGGGAGGACAGTTTAAGCTCGGACGGGCAGAGTTGCGGGTGGCAGAGTGCGGGCTCGGTGGGAGGTTCGCCGGCAGGGAGCGAGGACCGCAGCTGCCTGGGAGCGAGGAGGCGCTGGGACTCCGGGGTCAGCCCAGCACCTCGTCCTGCAGAGGAGATCGGCGAAGCTGGGGGATGCACCGGCTGCCAAGGCGACCCTGTGCGCAGGTGGGCACCCCCGAGCGCGGCGCCCTGACCCATCGTGGGCTGCCGCGGGGCCCGATGCCCTCCTTTCCCGGCCGCGGGCTCTCGGGACCCGGGCTCAGCAGGTCTGGGAGCCGGAGGAAGGTGCAGGGCTCCGGAGTGTGCAGGCGTGTGCGCTCTCGCTGTGCCAGGTGGGGAAGAGGTGCGGGTCAGCTGCCTCCCTGGGGCTTCTCTCCCTGGGGTCCCCGCTCCACCCCTTTTGATGTGCTGAGCACCCGAGCGGCTGCAGAGGACTGCGACCCCTTCGCCCCCCACCCGCCATCTGGGTGGTGGGTGCAATTCGCCCCCTGGGCACGATCCACACCCAGCAACCATCGGGGCGCCCTCTGCTCCAGGCCCCCGCGACTAGAGGAACCTGGGGGAAGAGAGAGGGGTGGCTGGGTCAGCCTGGCTGCCACTAGAGGAACCTGGGGGAAGAGAGAGGGGTGGCTGGGTCAGCCTGGCTGCCACTAGAGGAACCTGGGGGAAGAGAGAGGGGTGGCTGGGTCAGCCTGGCTGCCACTAGAGGAACCTGGGGGAAGAGAGAGGGGTGGCTGGGTCAGCCTGGCTGCAGGAGGAAAGCAGGAGTTCCTGGAGTATTGTCTCCGGGGGGCCGATGCCTGAGCCCGCGCACTCCCTGGTGCTTTCAGGGACAGAGTGAGGGGGCGGGGTGAGGGGGAGGGCGCGGGAGGAGGGAGGTGGAATGGGTTTGCGGAAATTACCTCCGAAGGCTGACTGTGCACATGCACTTGGCGCCTTGTGCACGTTTGGATGAGGGTTTAATGGAGACACGTGGGAAGAAGCTCGGTCCCTGGTGGACCCCCGAAAAAAAGCCTTTTGGGGTGGCCCAGCGGGTGTTCGGGGTTGGGAAGGAAAAAAGAGTGTGAGTGTGTGAATGTCTGTCCTAGGGAAGAGAAGGATGGCTAAAGGAGACTTGATTTTCTTGGATTTGCTGCAATTCCTTAAACCAAACCAGTCTTTCGAGGAGTTAAAGTAAATTACGGGTAAGTGGGGACGGATCTCTGGAGGAAAAAGCCCCCCCTGCCCCCGCCCCGGGTTTTCGGGGTAGCGGGCTTGGCGGGTATGCTCTCCATGCAGCTTCTGACGCTATCTCACCTAGGGGGTGGGGGTGGGGGGATGCTGCGTGGGTGGTGCATGTGTCTTTGGCTTAAGGTGCTGAAGCTGGGGCACTTATCTTGGGTAGACTATGGGACTTGAAGGAGGCAAAAAACTGTAGTGTTGTCTGTTATTCTCAGTTAACTTTAGAACCTCAGTCTCTGTTCTCTGTTTCTCTCTATACACACACGCGCACATGCACGCACACATGCACACACACGAACCCTGGTGTGGTCTGCTTGCCTCTCTTTTTCTTTCTATCCCTCCACCCTCTCAAGCACATCCACACACTCACCACACACACACACACACACACACACACACACACACACACACACACACCATGGTTGGGTCTGTTATTCTAAATTAACTCCAGATCTCTCTCTTCTCTCTCTCTGCCTCTCAATCTCTCTCTCTCCTCTCTCTCTCTCTCTCTCTCTCATCTCTCTCTTTCTCTCACTCTCAATCTCCTTCACTCTCAATCTCTTTGGTCTTTCTTAGTCTCTCTTGTCTCTCAGTCTTGTGTATCTCTCTCAGACTCTCATCTCCATTGCTCTCAATCTCTCTTGTCTCTCTCAATATCTTGTCTCTCAATCTCCTGTCTCTCAGTCTCATCTCTCTCAATCGCTCATTCCTCTCTCTCTCTCTCAATCCTCTTACAGATCTCATTTCATGGCTGCTTTGACTCACTAATAGTTGCTTATGGATCTTTATTAATTGCTTGTTATGCTCACGAATTTTTATTCATTTGACTTTTTTTAAAGAAGAAAAAAAGACCTATCTGTATTAAAATCTGTGGGGTGTCCTAAAGATCTTTCAGCATTCATTCACATTCGAACTAGGAATACAGCAGTAAATACCCCACCTAGTCTGTTTGTATTGATCAAAGCTCTAATTCATGTTAGAATTAATATTATTATTTTAAACGGACATTTTACAATCATGTGACAAAGTAACCTTTTCCTAGATCTCTCCCTCTCTTTTCATCATGGGAATTTACAGAATTTTTGATTACTCGATTAGCAAAATGGTGAAGTTATCTTCTAATTTTAAGGGACAGGTCTTGAAATGGTTGTAGGTTGGCCTGTGGATGGGTTCTATAACTCCACCTCTTACTTTAATGAACTGATCAGAGTAGTGTTGATCTGAGACTTACATATGCTTTGATTTCTAAATAATTTATCAAATCATTGGGGGGAGAGGGTCTCCTTACTAATTTTCCACACAAGAGAAAGAGCACTATTATTTCCTGAAGCCAAGATTTTGCCACTTTCCCCCCAAATGTCCCTGATAGATGCCTAGAAAAGATGCATGGTTGATGAATAATACATTGTTTATTTCCCTTTTATGTCTACAGGTGGCAGTGCAGAAGCCAAAATGGGAGCTTCTAGAAGTGGTTTCTGAAAAATAAGACCACATATACACGAGTAAGCAAGCACAGGAATCTGAAAAAACCACAGGTATGTAAAACAATTAAGCCACCTATCTGGTTTTATAATTATTGCATTCCACTATCGACATTTACACAGACTTTTATGAAGTGAAGCACTTTGAGGTGGTCTCAGAGGAGAAAACATGTTTATTCTATTTCAGACAATGTATTTAAATAAAAAGGCTTGATCTCATTGTTGCATTCTTTTTTACCATTCTAAAAGAGAAGCACTGTTTGTGACCATGTGCCTTTGCATTTAACCAGTTGTTGCTTGATACTTGTTTTTAAGAACATTTTTCCTGAGATCAACCAATGAACTTGTATGCATATATGCAGAACCCATGGACACAGACAATGGGGTGGTGAAGGCCTGGGGTGGGGGAACAGGAGCAGGCTAGAAGGTGTTAATGGGGGGAAAAGAGGATCTATGTAATACTTTCAATAATAAATATTTTTTAAAGACAAATATAATTTTAAAAAAGAATACTTTTCCTGAAGCTGTATAAAACTGCAATTGTTATGAATAATTTCATTTGGGTAACAGTTTAACAGAGTCATCCTGTTGAGCCAATGTAACAAGTGTTTGCTTTTTAGAAAATCTGCATCTCACTGTTGACTTGATATCTCACTTAGCAGAATACCGAAATACCAATGCATTAGGTATTCTTTTAAGCCAGGTTCTTTTAAACCAGCTCTTCTCTCTTTAGCCATCTCATCATTTTTCTCCTCCTACCTTGCTGCTTTTCTAAGCCCAACATGTAAGATGTACCTTCATAATTCACCCACTTGACTGAACTAACGACAGGTTTAATATGAGATCAAAGACAATCAAGGTCAAAAATTTTTTTCATTATGTCACAGTTAAAAAGAATTTGCCTTTGATTATCATTAAAATGCAATATTTTGCATATTAAGACCCTGTTTCTTTTTATTAAAGTATAGTTGACATACAATATTATATATAGTTTCAGGTGTGCAACATGCATAGCCAATAGTTATATTCCTTATAATATAATCACCAGAATAAATCTAGTAAACATCTGTCACCATACAAAATTATTCTGATAATATTAAGGCCCCTTTTCAATAATTGAGTAGCACAGTGTTATGAATGGTAGAAGAAGCCAGAAGGGGGAAAGGTTCACCTTTGTGGATTTTTGTTTTTCTTCCTTAAAATGGTGGGTCACGGTGCTCTCACAAGGAGGCTAAAGTTATCATGTTGGCTATAAAAGGATCAGGCATCAAAATGGCTGTTAAAGAGAATGAAGCTTTCTCTTTCCTGAGGGGGTGTAAGTGTTCATCACAGTGCCAGAATGCGATGATATCTTGTGATTTTTGACATTCTGCCTTTACAGCTGAAGAGGGATTTTTTTTTAGCCCCTGCCAATGAGGGTGTAAAACAAAATCAGATGCCATTCTTGAAGCTTAAAAATATCAAATTAGACATTTAACCCATAGAAAGCAAATTGAGAGCTCTGAAAGTATAGACTCAACTAAAGACAAAGTTTCTTACTGTAAAAAGCCCATGGCCTGGCTGGCATGGCTCAATGGTTGAGTATCAACCTATGAACCAGGAGGTCACATTTTGATTCCCAGTCAGGACACATGCCCAGGTTGCGGGCTCGATCCCCAGTAGGGGATGTGCAGGAGGCAGCCAACCAATGATTCTCTCTCATCATTGATGTTTCTATCTCTCCCTCTCCCTTCCTCTCTGAAATCAATAAAAATATATTTTAAAAAAAGATGGACCTCAGCTATCAAGCCCAGACCACTTTTTTGTTGTTTGTTCTTTAAAATATATATTTCTTTACTGGTTTCAGAGAGAAAGGGAGAAGGAGAGAGAGATAGAAACATCAATGATGAGAGAGAATCATTGGTTGGCTGCCTCCTGCACATCCCCCACTGGGGATCGAGCCCGCAACCCAGGCATGTGCCCTTGGGCCGGAATCGAACCTGGGACCCTTCAGTCCGCAGGCCGACACTCTATCCACTGAGCCAAGCCAGCTAGGGCCCAGACCACTTTCTTAAAAAACAAAACAAAACAAAAAAAATAAAAAACCATGGATATGAAGTGGCTTCAGGAAAGCTAGCGAATATTTAGGAACATGTAAATTTGCACTGCATGGACCTTAAATACATTACCTGACTCAGGAAACTGGGAAGTAACTAATCATCCCCCAATGTATCTAAGAGGACTAAGCTCTAATCTTCTAAGTCAGAAAGGAAAAGAGCACAGTTGAGCTTTTATTCCTTTTTTTAAAGATATTTTTTCTTTATTGATTTCAGAGAGAGGAAGGGGAAGGGGCGAGAGATAGAAACATCAATGATGAGAGAGAATAATAACTGATCAGCTGCCTCCTGCATGCCCCCTACTGGGCATTGAGCCCGCAACCCGGGCATGTGCCCTGACCAGAAATCAAAGGGGAACAGACTGACATACCTCGATGTGAGGGTGGGGAGACAAGGAGAGATAAACTAAAGAACTTACATAGCTATATGCATAGCCCATGGACACAGGCAATAGGTTGGTGAAGACTTGAGGGGGAGGTAGGGCCTGGGCAAAGGGGAGTACAGGGGGGTAAGTGGGAGATAATCTGCAGTAGTGTCAACAATAAAAAATATATATATTAATAAGAAACAAACAAACAAAAGTGGTGGCTTCCTGTATCATGGGTTGACATTCAACCACTTAGCCACACCAGCCAGGCTTATTCCTGTTTTGAATTATAGCATTCTCATTATAGAGACATTAAGTGCTTTAGAGATATTTTATTTTTAAGGTAACATACCTTAAAAATAAAGTGTAAAATGCATTAATCCAGCGGTTCTCAACCTGCGAGTCGCGACCCCTTTGGCGAACGACCCTTTCACAGGGGTCGCCTAAGACCATCCTGCATATCAGATATTTACATGACGATTCATAACAGTAGCAACAGTACAGTTATGAAGTAGCAACGGAAATAATTTTATGGTTGGATCACAACATGAGGAACTGTATTTAAAGAGCCAGAAGGTTGAGAACCACTGCAATCGAAAGTGTATTTTTTATATGTGTGTTCCTCCATGTAACCACCAGGTCAAGATACAGAACATTTCAAGCGCCCCAGAAGATTTCCTCCTTTTTACACTTCTGGTCAGTTTTCGTCCCACTTCCAACCTGAAGGTTAGTAACCACACTGTAATTTTTAAAGACTCTACTTGCTAGTTTGTCTGCTATTAAGCTCCATATAAATAGTATCATATAGAAGGGATTCTTAACTTGTATGTTTTCTTTCATATAACAATGTCTACAAGATTCATCTATGTCATAGTGCATATTTGTAGTTCATTCTAGTCTATTGTTGAATAGTAATTCAATTGTATGGATATACCACAATTTATCCATTCTTCTATTAGATCTTTGAATTGTTTCCAGTGTGGCTAATACGAATAAAGCAGCTATGAACATTCTTGCTTATGTTTTTTTGTGTGTGTGCACATGCCCACTCATTTCTCTAAGAGTGAAATTGCGGGGTCATAGAGTAGGCTTATATTTAGCTTTAGTAGATGTTGCCAAACAGTTTTTCAAAGTGGTTGTACCAGCTTAAATTCCAGTTGTATTACATTTTCACTAACACTTGGTTCTGTCAGTCTTTTTTAATTTTAGCTATTTTGGGGGCTGTATATTGGATCTCCATGTGGATTTTTAAATTTAAAAATTTTAATTGTGGTAAAATATACAAAATATAGAATTTATCATCATAACTATTTTTAATTGACAGTTAGTGGTATTAAGTACATTCACATTGTTTTATAACCATCACCACCATCCATCTCCAGAACTCTTTACCTCTTGGAAAACTGAAACGGTAACCATTAAACAATGAATCCCCATTCTGTCTTTTCCCAGGCCCTGAAAATCACCATTTTACTCTTTGTCTCTATGAACTTGACTACTTTAATTACCACATACAAGTAGAACAACAGAATATATATTCTTTTCTAACCAGCTTATTTCACTCAGCATAATGTCCTTAAAATTTATACATGTAGTAGCATGTGTCAGAATTTCTAATACTGAATAACATTCCATTGTGTGTGTGTGTGTGTGTGTGTGTGTGTGTGTGTGTGGTGGACACTTGGGTTGATGTCACCTTGTTGCTGTTGTAAAAATTGCTGCCATGAACATGGGTATATAAATATTTCTTCAGGACTCTGCTTCCCATTTTTTCGCATACATACCCCAAAGTGGAATTGCTGGGTTATATGGTAATTCTATTGTCAATTTTTGTAGAACCACCATACTGTTTTCCAAAGCTACTATACCATTTTACATTCTTAACAATATACAAGGGTTCCAGTTTCCCCACATCCTTGCCAACACTTGTTATTTTCTGATGTGTTTTCTTATAGTAACCATTCTAATGGGTGTGAGGTGATCCTTATGGTTTTAATTTGTTTTCTGGTAAGTAATATTGTTCAATGCCATTTCATAAACTTATTGTCATTTGGATATCTTGTCAAATTCCTGTTAAAATCTTGCTCATTTTAAAATTGGATCATTTGCTGTTGTTGTTTTAAATTTCTTTGTCAGAGTTCTTTTATATTCTACATATGAATTCGTGTTCAAATATATGTATTAGAAATGTTTCCCCAGTTTGTGGCTTGCCTTTTCACTGTCTTCATGGTATCTTTGAATGATTATTTTTAAATCCTCACCCAATTTTTTAAAAAATTGATTTAAGAGAGAGAGGGAGATGGAGAGAGAGAAAGAAACATTGATGTGAGAGAGAAACATCAATCGGTTGCCTCCCAGATGCATCCTAAGGATTGAACCCACAATCTGGGCATGTGCCCTGACAGGGAATCGAACCTGTGACCTTTTGGTGTATAAAACATGACAGGGAATCGAACCTGTGGCCTTTTGGTGTATAAAACAACAATCTCATACTGAGCCACACTGTCCAGGGCTCTTTTGATGATTTTTAATGTTCAATGATCAATTTTTTCCCTTATAGTTATTGCTTTTTGTGATCTATTTATGAAATCTCTGTCTACCTTGGGGTTATTTTTAAAAACTTTTTAGCCTGACTGGTATGGCTCAGTGGTTGAGCATCGTCCTAGAAACCAGGAGGTCAGGGTTTGATTCCCAGTCAGGGCACATACCTGGGTTGCAGGCTTGATCCCCAGTGGGGGGTGTGCAGGAGGCAGCCGATCGGTGATTCTCTCTCATAGTTATGTTTCTATCTCTCGCTCGCTCTTCCTTCCTCTCTGAAATCAATAAAAATATATTAAAAACGAAAATAAAAACCTTTTGAGTCAGTGAAATATGTAAAGGCAATCTGTTTAGAAGATGCAATAAATTAGCTATAAGCATATTTCAAATAAGAGCTCTTAGGTATAAATATTGGAGATTTTCTTTGCTGTAGCAGGTGCCAGAGAGGGAGTTTGAAAAAGTATATTTTTCAATAAGATACAGAGACACAGATGCTGTCACTCAAGTGGCTGTCTCTCCCCAACACTGATTATGTCCTCAGGGTCCCTCTAGAGTGGGCCCTAGGGAACAGCCTTGCGATGACTTGGCTAGAATAAAGAATGTGGCAAAATGGATAGGTATCTACTTTTCCTTAATCTGTAATCCACACTTACTGAAAACTCTTTCCCTGCCCCTCTCCCATCTGAAAGAAGGGTTGCTCTGATTTGATGCTACTTCTTTCTTTTGCCTCAAAAATATCAATACCCTTGTGATTTTGCCATTTGTTAGCTTTCTCTCTTCTCCATCTTCATCTTTTCCCTGAATGCCCTGTGTTCACATTCACTTTCATGTCTTGGGCTGTCCCTCTCCCTCTACCCTGTGCTGTAAGGACTCCTCAGGTCTCTTATCTCCTGCTCCCATGACCTGTCCCTCAACATAACATTCAGATCTGTTATTTTTATCTGCCTCCTGGGAATCTCCCACTGGATATTCCATGGGTGTCTTTATAAAAAAGACTCCTCTCCAGTCGAATCTTCTGCTTTTCTTCTTTAATTAATATATTTGCCATTATTCTAGGACCCCAAATTAGAATTCTTGGCACTGAACCCAATCCTCCCACACACCTTCTATCACTCTCACATCCCATGTTTAGTCAGTTATCAAAGCTGCTAGGTCTTTCTCCTGTCTCTGAAATATCTTTCAAAGGCATCTTCTCTTCCCTATATTTGCTACCTCATGGCTCAGGTTCCATTTAGGATAGTAGTTAAAGCTCCCAACTGATTCTCCTCATCCTTAAACTCCCTCTAATCCTCTACTTGTCATCAGTTTTCTTTTCCAAAAACACAGATTTAGTCATGTCATTTCCTACTTAAAAATAATTTGTAGCTCTCCACAGCTTACAAGAGGTATTCAAATCTCTTAGCATGATTTATAGTATGACACCCTTCATTATTTGCCTTCAACCTGCTTTTCCTGTTATATCATCTGCCATTTCCTCCCCATACTCCATCTGTCCTAAACTATTTTTCATTCCTAGAACATTCCTTGAGTTCCTTCCTGCATCTGTGCTCTTGCACATGTTGTTTCTTCTACTTTTAGTGTCCATTCTTATCCACTGGTGACTTAATATATTGTTTTAAAAAATCAGCTCGTACATGACCTCTTTTTAAAGTGAGCCTTCCTATCCTCTAAGTTAGGGGTAGGGAACATCCAGGCCATGGCTGTATAAGGCCAGATAAATCATTTGGTCTGGCCCGACCAAGGCATTATGGGTGATTTAATTAAATATTTGACCAAATATAGCAGGCTAATTTTTAAGTTGATAATTTTGTATGGCCTGTGAATGATGTTATAAATATCCAAATGCCCCCCTTTGTGTTGGAAACCTTGTTAGGGAGCATCTTTGAGTATTTGCTATTGATTTGCCTCTAGCATCTGATTTAAAAGGCACTTTGGGGAAAAGAATGTCAGGAAATGAAAAGAGATCCGATTGATTGGAGTTGATCATCTGTGTTCTCCCTCACCATGTGTGAGAATGAAAATATCGTCCTACTGAGAAACAACAGTTTACCCAGTCTTAATGTTTATGTGTTTTTCCAGCTGTTGCAAACTATTCAGAATGGGAACATCAATTTAATTGTTTGTGATTTACTGCCTATTAAAGGAGGCAGGACAGTTAGAATATACATGTAGGAGTTTAGTTGAAATATACATTGAAGTTGAAGTGTATGCTAGTGACCCTAGAGACAGTATAGTAACCATGGATAGCTTTGAGTTTTTCCCAGAACTTGGTTTAGTACACATCCATATGTTTCAGTAAAGCTGTTAGAAATAAATAAAACAGATACAAATTTTACCACATCAGAGCCCATTTCTACTAATCTTAGATATACAGATAAACTGAAGTGACCAAAAAGCGTAAAAGAATAGACACTTAATGGGCCTAAGACTCCTTATAACTGCTTAATGATCTTGTTTTCCTCCTGCCTTGTGCCACTCCTAGATTGGCCACTGACACAGTTAGAGGCATTAAAAATCTATAATCTGAGTAATTCTGGGAGAATAACATGCTACGATTTATGTGTGAAAATAGAACTTTCATTTAATGTTTAAAAAATCTTTAATTTTCAAGGCATGCTTTTCCTTTTATTTTTCAGAAAACAAAAGATTTAGTACATATATATCACTATATCCTATTTATATATCAGTTTCTAATTGAAACTCTTGCATTTGCTGTTTAGTTAAAATGACAACATAAATTCAAATGGCCATAGTTCAATATTTTTAGAAGACCATTGCTGGGGTCCTGCCCCAGCAGGTCCAGGGGTCCCCAAAGGTGTAGATGGAGTCGGCGAAGAAGGAATGACACGGAGACAGCATTCAGTTGATCAGCAGCCTAGCCAGGATCTCTAGCCAGGATCTCCAGCCAAGTTCTGGTCTGGATCTCCAGCGAAGTTCTGGTTAGGATCTCCAGCCAGGTTCTGTGTCCATGTTCTCTTGCTAGGTTCTCCAGGTTCTCCAGCCAGGTTCTGTAGCCATGTTCCCTCGCTAGGTTCTTCAGCCAGGTTCTGTCCAGGTTCTCCAGCCAGGTTCAGTCACCAGGTTCTAGTCAGGTTCTCTTGCCAATTTCTGTAGTCAGGTTCAGTCCAGGATCTTTTGCCATGTTCTCTCCAGCGAAGTTCTTCTGTCTCTAGGTTCTGTGTAGGTTC